GTACATCTTAATTTCGATTTCAAAACAAGGATTAAAGAGACTGAAATAAAAAAAAAAACGATTTTATTTATAAACCTAAAAGACCGTTGACTTTGAATTATCTAACGAAACAAAGAAAACCTTCAGTAAAATTTCGCCTCTCAATGATGATAAATATCTTTATTTAACAATGTATTTTTTTCCTTTCGATTGTTCAGAATCATAAGATGATAGATGAAAATGAAAGGTAACGCGATGATCAATCAACATGGCTAATTTTTATTCTCTCTTAATTAATTCTTAACACTAAAAAGGAAAGTAGGACACATGTTAGAGTTGTTCGTGGAAACCAGAGCCCTCATTGTATGCGACGATCATTAACCTTGTGTTGAAACAAGACACTCAAGTGCAAACAAACCCTACTTTTTTTTCTCAACAAAATTACTTTCACTGGCGAATTTATGATTGGAATAAATGTTGGTCACAGAAAATGATGCTATGTCAATATTTCCCTTGAAATTGATGCATGAAAATAGGAAATAGAATTTATGAGATTTTTTTCCCAGTAAAAGATACAATTTTCTGAATAGAGCGATATCTTTATTAATAATTTTAGTACTCTTAAATAATAATTTAGCGGTTATCCGTATGGAAACCAATATTTTAAGAACAACGTGTATGATGAGACTGATTTATTCGAATGGAAACCAATATTTTAAGAACAACGTGTATGATGAGACTGAGTTATCCGAATGAAAACCAATATTTTAAGAACAATGTGCATGATAAGACTGATTTTTCCGAATAGAAACCAATATTTTAAGAACAACGTGTATAAGGAGACTGATTTATCTGAATGAAAATCAATATTTTAAGAACAACGTGTATGATAAGACTGATTTATCTGAATGGAAACCAATGTTTTAAGAACAACGTGTATAATGAGACTGATTTTTTTCTTAACACTTAAAAAAAATTTCTGTGAGAAAAATGTGAACTTTCTTCGTAAATATCCAAGAATACTACACTGAGAAAAAAAAAGTCAAAACTTACCAGAATGTGGTAAAATTTACCGTGTTTCTGGCTATATGGGAAAGCTAAAAAGCTCAAGAAATTTTTACCGAAGCGCTCTAGTAATGATTTTGGTAAAATTAACAAAAAAATGTGGTTCTATACTATGTGATAAAATTTGGTAATTTTATTATGATATCTTAGAGTGATGATATAAAAACCATTTATTATTAAACTTTTCTATGCATATTGCGAAATAAATCACGCTGATTTTATTAACATTTGAATAGGACATTTTTAGAAAAAAATTTTTAAACAATAATGTAGTGATAATAATTCATCAAATTTCATTTCCCGCATTACCATTAAATTACCCAATAAAATAAAAAGATTTCATCCAAAAATATTACAAAAATAAAGATTATTATTCAATTTTTTTACCAACAATTCAAAGACAAATGAAATATAAAAGCTTTTTTTTCTTATTTTTTTAAACACAACATTCATAAGAGAGAAAATTCTTTGATTGCAATGAAAAAAAGATATTTGAATTTAAAAAAATATTTTGTCTAGAATCTTTATTTGCTTACGTCGAGTCATTCTTAATCAAAGATAAAAAATGGAGTATCATTTGCCTTTATTTATCAAGAAACGAATCTTAAAAATCCTCTTTTTTCATTACCTGTGCCTAGATATTGTGATTTCATCGAATATAACACCGGCTTCTAAAATGATTTTCATTTGAATCTAGATTCATGTGGATTTTAACTAATTTAACATTTATGAGAAAGAGAAGTTTATAAGGAAGTAACATGAATTGAACGGAAAAATTTAATATTATAAAAATTTGGATTTTTTTTTTGAGGAGTTGATGCTAATGATTAGTATGACAACACAGTAGTCATAATAATGAACAAATTTCATTTTCAGCATTACCATTAAATTACCGACAAAATAGAAAATATTCGTTCAAAATGATACAAAATTAAAATTTATTATTCAGTTTTTTACCAACAAGCAGATATATAATGGCTTTTTTTTTTTCCTCTTTTTTTCAAAACACAACATTTACAAGAGAGGAAATTCTGTGATTTCAATGGAAAACCGACATATGAATTGAAAAAGATTCTTTTGAAAACTCCGATAGCCGGAAGTTCTGTTAGAATCATTATTTGCTCGATTCGAGTCATTCTTAATCAAAGATAAAAAAGAAAATGCGGTATGCCTTTCTTTATCAAGAACCGAATCGTGAAGTTCCCTTTCTTTTCATTATCTTTACCTGGATATTTAGATTATAATGAAAAATGCCGGCTTCTAAAATGCGTTTTCATTTCAATCTAGATTCACGTGAATTTTAATTTATTTACATTTATACGAAAGAAAAGTTTATGAGGAAGTAAGATTAATTGAATAGCGGAATTTGATTTTATAACTAAAGAAGAAGTTTCGATTTATACAATGAAAGAAAAGAATGATAACAATTACAATGAAAGGAGTGAGCTTTTACTTTTGATTGTTTCAAATTCGTTTATGTTGCATTATTTATTTTATATTTAGTTTTTATTTATTTACAATTTACATATCTATTTTTCAATGGAAAAGTAAAATTATAAATCATTTACCAATTTTTAAATTCAAAATATTTTATATCAATGCAATTAATGTAAGAAATATTAACATTCAATAAAATGTATTTTATATATTGATAAACAGAAACCAGAAAATTGTTCATTTAAATTTTAAAGAAAATGAAGTTAAAAATCATGATAAATATAGTACAAGTGTCTATGAGAACACATTATACCAACAATCCGATTAACACAGGGTGTTCCAGAATTCTCACCCTTAATATGTATTTTTTATTAACTTCGTTAAAAATGAAATCATAAAAGTGTACAGATAGGTGTAAATAAATTATTTTTGAGCAAAAACAGAAACATTATCAAAATCTAAAAAATCACTTCTGAGGAAAGTTGAAAACAAGAAAACTTGTTTGATTGCTGGAATAAGCAAGGAAGAGTTGAAAAGTTATTGATAGATAGAAATATCCCAAGTCTCACTAGGCAATCAAACTGGTTTCGTTGTTTATCATTCTGCCTTCTTTGTTACTGATTCGTTAGAATTCGAAAACGGTTATGTTATTCTTCGCCTAAATTTTAATAAACCTTCGCCTAAATTTGAGGTCCATAATGCTTAATACTTCTTTTTTACAAAATTTTTAACGAGTTTTCTTAAAATATTTACTTAGGGAAGTGATTAAACAACAATGTATCGATTTTTTATAGGCTATCAAAGCAGTTAAATCCCACCAGAAGTTGCATTTGATAGGCAAGCCAGCTGATAGCCCAAGTCCAAGGCTGGACACAGGTTTCGCGAGCTACTTCCTCAAAACTCTTAAAAGTTTAACTTTCATGTTTTGTAAACTTTTGCAAAATGCCCTCTCAAATTCGTAGTTTAATTTCAATGCTTAAAATATCGTCTTTTATATTGGTGCTAAAATATTATTACTAATTTTTTTTCTTCCAAAAATTAAGTATTAATGGTTTGTATACTAAACAGGATATAATACTACATGATATAATACCAATATACTAAACATGAAGAATTCTTTCACCAAAATTGTGAAACTTCGCATGGTATATTAAAAATATATCGAAGAAATCATCTGTAATATATCAGCTGACTCGGGCCCTAGGACAATTGTCCACAACAATACCTCCGTTCTACCTTGCTGAGGTCCACAAATATTTGACAAACAATATTAATTTCAAAACCAATTTTTGGGGAGGGAATCCAAAAAATAGTGGAAGAAAACTCCTGCATTAGAGTATGACAAGAATTCGATTTTTGGTTCCGAAATGCCAGGTAAAAAGAAATCTTAAGTTCCTATAATGCAAAAAGTTTCTTTCTTCGATGCAAAAAGTTTCTCTGAATTTAAATGCTTACAGAAACCAACGTTTAATATATTCTCTTTAAACTTAGTTTAAAATATATATGGAATTAGTTAAGTTAAAATATATTTGAAATATTTATTTTGAATCGTATGAAAAAAAAAAGCTAAAATGATTTATCAAAATATTTCTAAAGATGAAAAATTTTTCTTTCTAATGATACGTTAAATATATTTTATCTTCTACTTGTATATTATAATATATTTAATAGTAAACTATTACTAATTGAAACTATTTTATTATCAGTTAGTTAATCATATTAACCATGAACTTTTATATGAAAATAAATACTATTTAACTACTCCCTTTTTTTTATAATGTTTAAAGATTAAAATATTGTCGTTGCCACAAATATTCTCAATTTTTTATTTATTTCTTTTGAAGAAGATAGTTAATTAAATAATAATTTAAAAACAAATAAATAATGTCACAAATAGTTTGGTTCGAAAAATATTATTATCTGCACAAAAAAAGAAAGAAAAAAAACTTTAACTGTGCACGTGAACAAATTAAATTAATAGTAAGCTATTAATACTCTTTAATAGTAAGTAAACAGCTTATTTAAGACTTGTTTCTATCTAACAATGCTAAAAAAAAAGACAACTGTACAAATATTTTTTTAACTTTTAATTATTACTTACTTATTTAATGAAATTTAATTTTTATATTATTAAAAGCTTAACATATTTTAATTGATTTTTTTTTTTTGCAGTTACTGTTTAGAGAGAAAGATAAGTAAATAAAAAGAGTAAATAAAATAAAAATTATTTTGAAATCGTTTGCTTAAGTTTGTTTCTTGTCACGCTTTAAAAGATAATTATTTATTTTAATAAAACAATACGCATTACTTTGCAGTAATAGTTAATAAAGTGTGAAAAGTTTGAAATCTGACTAAATTAAAGAAATTGTAAGAGATATTAAAGAAGAAGAAAAATTTCTACTAGTTGAATGTTCCTACACATAAACACAAAAAGCATGTTCTTAAATGAAAACATAAAATAATTGTAAATTGTTAAAATACTTTTTGCTAAAAAAAATTAAATAAAATTTAGTACTTACTTTTGTTTATAATTCCCAGCAAGATTTTTGTAATATTTTAGTTCCTCTTGTTGATTAGCAAACGACAATTCACCATTGGCCATATTAGAAAAAAAAATCAATATTAAGCAAAATAAATTTATAAAGAATGGCAACACTTTTTCCTAAACTTTCATTTTTCCCTTCAGTTATTTTTATGCACTTTTCTCTTACTCAAATCTGCTGAATACTAGTATTATCATCCAAAACAAACAGAAAGTTAGGAGACAACCGGTCAGTGAAAAAGCTATTTCTCATCTCCGCGGTTTCCAGAACAACAGGTGGAATATCTTTGGTATAAGAACGAGGAGGGAAAAAACACGATTTGAAAGGGGAAAACAGAAAGAATTCCCTATCTTTTCATCTTGTAGGTCAGTGCCATTCCAGCATCCTTGATTCGAAATGAAAGCAACGGGATTGATAGGGATCTAATAGAAGACTGAGCCTTTATCATCTATGAAGAAAAACTTTGTCTAAATAACAAAAAGAAAAGCTAAATAAATAAAATAAAAGATTATTTGAAACGTGAAAATTTATACTAGCCGATAGAATTTTGGGAAAATCGAAGAGAAAAAAAATCCATGACTCCAGCTGGGGTCGTCAGAATTTTATGAAAACAAGTTTTAGTGATACGTTTTGGTAAACCATCCTGTATTGCCAGAAAATATGCCGATTTCTTCCCCCCCCCACAGTCCCAAAATTAAATTATTAAGCAAAATTTTATATTTTTTACAGTTTATAAGGACATTTTTCTAAACATGGAACTCATTGTTTTGTTATTAAATATACGACTTTTTTAAAATTTGATTTCTCGGGGTCTATTCAACAGATTTCGCTCAAATTCTTATTTTGCCTTATAAAATTACTTTAAGTTGGTGTAAAATAATTGTATACCTTACAATTCAAAATTTTTTCGATTATTCTTAAATAAAATGATACAAAAATAATAAATATTTACTAAAAGTTATTTTTTGCATGGAATTACCTCTAAATAAACGAATTTTATAACTGTGCGCAAACATTCTTCAGTTCACTTAAAAAGTTCTAGCGACTTGTCGAAATATGCAAAAAGTAAAACTAACATGAAAGTAAAAGTAACTCAGTTCATGCATTATCACTGGACAGAAAAATCAAACGGTATGAGTTCCCGCATTCTCACAATATGAATAAAATGCAGTGAGTTTTGAGTTACAGAGTATATATAAAAAAGTTTGATTTATTGTTAAAATTTTGAAGTATAATTTTTTGGTCTGATCTCATCTAATCATTTTTAGTCGAATTTCATCGAATTATCTTTAGTCTAATTTGAAATATTCATATTAACGTCAACTGGTGTTACACTGTTAAAAATTTCTCGGAAAAAAATGGCTAAATAACAATCTATTTAATTATTATTTTACTATATTTAAACAAAACAGTCAAATAACAATAAATAAGATGGTAATGAAACTATTAACAGTGAGAATAATTGTTTATTAACTTTTATTTTTAACCTAAAACGGTTAAATAACAAGAATTTTACTGCACCAACTAAGCCCTCATAATGAAGCAACTTTGTTCCTTGTATCTGCGTTCATATTATAGCCGAGAGAGCTAATTTGTCAATCTCATGGCCGACAGAACGGGGGTTCGAGTCCCAGGTTTGACACTTCCATTCCCTTTAACACACATGCAGAATTTTCAGTGTCCTGCACTCTCCAATGCCCATTATCCAACAAAAAGCCTAGTTCCTATTTCCAGCTTTAAAAAAATTTACGATTTTGAAACCATGGTAGCTGTAAATGGTTAAAAAGCCGTATAGTTTTGTATTCATGACTTTATACCCATATTAGTTGTAAACGGTTTCAAAACCGTAAAGGTGAAAAACATTCTTTACCCTAAACTTTTCGGTTTATCGAAAAAGGTTCGGTTTACACAAAAAGTATTTACAATGTGTAAAAAAAAAATTTAAAACATTTACCTGAATAATTTTTGATTCAAAGTTCGGATTTTCTCGTTCTGAGACTTTATCTCGATGGTTCGAGGGAATGTCATCAAATATGCATATTAATTAGTGTAAACGATATTTTAAGTTACGAAATCAGGCACAAAAACGTACTTTCTCTAATTAAACGTACCCTTTTTTGTTCCTCGACAGATTCGGTTATCTGACCCCTAAAATATAAGGGGTAGCCGCGATCTGGAAAATACGGTCCAAATAGTTTGGTCAGGAGAGGGGTCTAAAATTTAGACCCCTTAGTGCTAATTTTATTTTTAGCTTATTTCACCATTCGTATTTCACCATTCACATTCTTGAATTTTTTAAGCAAATTTTTTTTTTAACACAATTATAAAATTCTTTTATCCCAATATTTTATGCAAAGAATAACTTTCAGTAAATATTTATTATTTTCTATAATTTTATTTAATGATAATCGAAAAAATTTTGAATTGTAAAGAATATAGTTTTTTACATGATTTTAAAGAATGTAATTTTGCATGGCAAAATAAAAAAATCGAGTGTAATGAGTCGAATAGTTCCTGAGAAATCGGATTTAAAATACCCGAGAATAAATTCGAATTAAAATTCCTGAATTGAGAAAATAACTAATTTGTGTTTGTTCGTGTTATATCTGTTTGAATCACACATAACAAGCATAGGAGAGGTATTATTGCGGAATTTTTATCCCCTAGCTTTTCAGGTAATTTTTTTGAAAAAATTACCTGAAATTACTAAAAAATTACTCCATGGGAAAATTAAGGTTCATTTGCTGAACTTTTAGTAATTGTCACCGAGTGTCAAAATGTCTTTTGCTATACTGGCTTCAGCTGTGAGGAAGTTCTGGTGATGAAAAGAATGATGGTGTAATAGAAGATTCAAATTAAATCGCTGAAATTACAAGCAGGATACTTAATGTTCGCCAAATTTCTCGAGGGGGGGGGATTTTGAAATTTTGCCTTTCAAAAATCTCAAACATTTGTGAAAAGAATGGCATGTCACTTTTCTATTTGACAATCAAAGATGAAAAGAATTAATACAGAGTTAACTAACAGAGTTAACCTGCAAAAGTGGATGAAACCAGGATTTACTTGTTAATGTTGAAACTTAATCTGGCCGGGATAGCCTGGATGGTAGAGCGTTGGGCCTATATCCAAAGGCTCGTGAGTTCGATCTCCGCCGGACGAAGACTCTCCTTGTACGAAATGGTGATAGATGCATACTAAATCATTCGGGGTCACAAAGTCCTCCAAGTTTCCATAACAAATTAATACCTCTGGGGTACAGCATCGAAAATTGATTGTGTTCTGATTCAGGTCAAAATTAACGATCTGCGGATGATTGGTGAGTGAATGTGTCCTCCCTGTAAAACAAGCTGCGATCCATATGTGTGGCAGAAATCGAATTCTTGGCCATAGATGGCGCCACTGGAAAACTTGAAGAAGTGAACTCCTCTGCCATAAAATAGGCTTGTCAGTATTGACAAGTGCCATAAGACAACAACAACAGCAAAACTTAATCTCCAAGGAAACAGCGTAGCAAATTTTGAAAAACAGTGCTCAACATTTTCTTTCCAAACTGCGTAGTCATATTATATGCGTTTTAATTATTTAATTATTTTTGTTTATAAGGGACCTTCGGGTTCGCTTGCTCATTGGAAACTGACTTGCTTTATATTCTAGCTTTATATGAATAGTGGTACTTTAAAGAATAAATAAAGTTAAAAATACTAAATCACTGACATTTTCATTTCTAAATTGCAATGCTTGGTGATACAACAGTTTTAAGTTCTGAGTTCTTAGATTAACTTTTAAAAATGCCTAAAAACTGAAGGAAAGGGTAAGAAAATAACAGAAACATAGTGTTGAAGTATCAGCAGCCTACAACTCAACTCTACAGTAGTTGCATTTTTGATTTAGATATGTTGTAATTCGAATTTGTAATTAGGCTTAATCGTAATATAAAGCGTTTTCATTTCTAAATTTCCATAGTTTTTAATTCAAATCTTTAAACACATAGTAAATATGTCAAAATGGAAGTATTCCAGGGTTAAAACAAAATTTTAAGTTGAATTGACAAGCAAAGGATAATGAAAGTGGGAGCTATCCTAAAAATTCATCAAGTTCCCCCTTACATACACAACTGTAAATATTGGGAGTATTATTAAAAAACATAGAACTGACAGAAATAAAGGATTTCATCTTAAAAAGACCTAAATACAACTGACTTTTTTCGGCAGTATTTCTCCTTTGATTCTGTTCTTATTCACCTTCACTAAAACGCCTCTTTTTCCTGAATAAATTATTACGTTTTATTAAAACTAGACAACAAGAAAAGCTCTAAATCGTTAGGTAACTTGAGTGGATTGATAAGCAGAATTAAAACAAAACACAGTTCGTTCGCTGATATAAAGAAGTCGTTTTTAATTTCAAGCCTACTTATAGCTCAGTTTATATCAGCTCACAGCTGCCAACGTGAAAAAAAGAAATTTTATCGATTTTGGGACACATACATACACAGAAGCATTTTATATAATATGGATTGTTTTTAATAAATCTATATCATAATGGATATCTAGTGTACTGAATTTTGTTTTGCTTGATATGCGTATTGAATTTGTAAGTGGGCGTGCGGAAGATGAAATCTTAGTTTATAGTTACATATCTGAGATTTAATAAGGTTCTTTCTTCCAATTTTTATGATTGAAGTAGTTATGTGCTTTGAAAATCCTACGACTTTTTCATACAATCATTCTATTTTTTTCGGCTCCCGCCTGATTCTGAAGGTTGAACTAACGGTCATCCGAATGAAATAAACTGTTTCAAAATCACTGGATCGTAACTAATAGGTAAGAATATTGAGAGATAAGACTGTTAGTAATTTTTTTTTATTTTCCTGATTTTTATGCAATCTAATTGAATTATTTCGGCAGATAACATTCTTCGTCAAACTGACAGTTGGTCATTAAATAACGAATATCTTAATTAGACTAAACTTCCGTACATTGCTGTTGCAGGATAAGTTTTTGAAAATCTGAAAAACTTATTTACTTAAGTTTATAATTGAAAATAATAAGATAATGCTGACTTTTTTTTCATAATGATGAGTTCAACTTGAGGCGTATAAAATATGAATTTCTAGCAATCGAACCGTTACGCCATTATTACTCTCTAAGTGGGATAAGTCGTCAAATGTGAAAAATTAAAAAAAAAAAACAATTTTTATTTACTTTTTTGCATACTATTTTACAAACTGTACGAAAATTTGGAATTTTTAAAAACTATTTTCTATTTACCTACAACGACATATTTCATTACATAATTTAACATAAACGA